GGCTGCTCCTCACCTGGCCTCCAGCGTCTTCCTACCTCACTCCTCCCTGGGGGTGACACCGCATGGCCTCCACACCGAGGAGCCTCACACCATGTGGCCTCTACACCACGGGCCTAGAGACTGAAATGGGCAGGGATGCCCCCTCTTCCCATGGTCCCTTCAAGTCCTACCGCATGCCTCAAAGGTGGGACAACCCATCCCTTTCAGGCAGGCTGTTCCTCCAGTTGGTCTCCTGATCATAGGAGTCTCCAGAAGCAAGGGGGACACTGGTCATGACAGTCACCAGCAGCCCTGAGCTGAGAAACATACACCCTCCTCACCGCACTTAGCCTGAGGCAGCCTGAAGCCCAGGGTTCCCTGTAGTCTCTGGGGCCCTCTGCCACTCCTGCTGCAGGTGAGAGGACACCCAGAGAAAGGAGAGAAAAGCCCCAACCTAGGACCCTTTGAGACCTGAGACCTTTCCTCCCTGGTCTGTTTCTCATGGAAACTAGGGAGGCTCCTTATAGTAGACCAGTTCTGCTTGGGGGATGGGGGGGAGCTTTTGTACCTGATAGATTGACATTATCATCTCATTTAATTCTCGGTCCAATCCTAAAGGAATACCAAATAAGCATCCCGTTATCCCCATTTCGTAAATTTTAAAAACAGGAATTCTCATGTATCTAATGTGGTTAAGCCTTGGTTGACATCAAAAGATGATTCTCCCTACAGTAGCTGTTGTGGATCAGGACTGCTGAACTGTCCCACTGTATAAATACTAAAATATCACCACCTGGGTGAAGAGGGGAACCACGGAAGGCCAGCCCAAGCCCTACTGGACATTGGGGTGGGGAGGAGGGGACCCTCTGGGAGTCAAGCACTCTTTTCCCTTGTGAGAAGAACCCATCTCCCAGGCCAGTCGGCCCAGACTGACCCTGACATCCAGAACCCACCAGCTGGCTCTGTGCCTGTCACACCACAGAACGCTGGTCTGACCACGAGAACAAGTCCACCAACACTTCAGAATCATTATGATGACACACAACTAAACAATCTGTATTGAGAGCCTTAAAAGAAAGATTACAGTTATTATATTACCCGTCAGAATTTTAAAAGCTAATATTAAAAGCTTCATTTACTTTACATGGGAAAAAAATTCTTGCAAGGACATATCCTTGTTTCCTTCATTGAGAGGATATAGGTTAGTGAAAAACATAAAAGTTAAAAAAAATACTTGCTTCCCACAGAATGAATCATAAGTGGTTACACAGGAATCATTCGTGTAAATCGGCTGCCACACTCTACTGCATATACAGAGACTAAAAGCACACTTTAAACACACTTATTCCATTGTAAAAAGAATTGGATGTCCTTCATGTGGATATGCTATAGGTAACTGACAGCATTAATGTGGCTGTATTCATAGTTGTCAATAAACAGCAATATTCTAAAAATTAGATTTCATAATCATTTACCGCAAACAACCTGTTGTTACTTTTTCCTCTAAATTTAAAAGTTGTTCCTAAGTAGTAATTTATCCCCAAAACACTTCACTTTTTAAAAAGGGCTCTAGCCATCAACCAAAATGGATGCCTATCAGAAAGGGACTGTACTTTAGGGTTTATTAAAAAGAGAGATTCTCCAGTATTTTCCAGAAAAGGAATAACCTGAATTAATGATGACTCCACACCATGAATGCCCTTAAACGTGGTAAAGCCTCAAAAATGCAGGTGCCTAGTCTAAGAGACCATGAATTTATGGCTTCCATATTAGGAATCGCTTCTGCATGGAATAATGCCACAGGTGACCAGGTGGCCAGGCCAGGCTGGGGAGCCCCAAATGCCACGACTCTCCCAGGCTGAGTGCCTCTGATCTCACCGCCAGGGGGCACACTTCCCACACAGGCGCACCTGCAGAGAAGGTTTTGCATGTCACAGAGGAGTGCAGCTAGCCTTGCCATCCCATTTCAGATCAGTGTTGGGGATGGGGGAGGGGAGCAGAGAGGAGGGCGTTTTGGGGCCTCGGTGTGAATCCCCACCATCTCCTGACCACACCCCGTGACGCAGAGCTACCACTTGAAAGGCCTTCCTCTTCCCTCCTGGTGCTAAGGGACTAAAGGCCCTCCCCCTCCTCAACCTACAACCAGGAATAAAAAGGAATTCAGACAAGGACTGCAAGGGTTCTTCCCCCGTGCCACCACGTAGCTATCAATGAAGAGTACAGGAGCTCTTCTCCCTGGGCCACCATGTCACTCACCAAGGAACACAAGAATTCTCCCCCGTGCCACTGTGTCACTGTCACCAAAGAGCATGAGGATTCTTCTCCCTGTGCCATCATTATTGCCACCAAGGATCATGAGGACTCTTCTCCCTGTACCATCGTGTCACTGTCACCAAGGAATGCAAGGGCTCTTCTCCCTGTGCAGCCACCACTGTCACCAAGGCATGTGAGGGCTCTTCCCCCTGTGCCACTGTGTCCTTGTCACCAAGGAGCACGAGGGCTGTTCCCATGTGCCAGTGTCACCAATGAGCGCATGGGCTCTTCTCCCTGTGCCACCATGTCATCATCACCAAGGAGCACAAAGACTCTTCTCCCTGTACCACCATCCCTGTCACCGAGAAGTACAAGGGCTCTCCTCCCTGTGCCATCATGTTGCTGTCACTGAAGAGCATGACCATCACTGTCACCAAGGGGCATGAGGGCTCTTCCCCCTGTGTCACCATGTCAAGGTCACTGAGGATCACAAGGGCTCTTCTCCTATGCCACCCTCACTGCCACCGAGGTGCACAAGGGCTCTTCCCCTGTGCCATCACTGTCACCAAGGTGTATGAGGACTCTTCCCCTGTGCCACTGTCACCAAGGAGCAGGAGGGCTCTTCCCCTGTGCCACCATGTCCTTGTCACCAAAGTATGTGAGGGCTCTTCCCCCTGTGCCAGTGTCACGGTCACTGATGAGCATGAGAGCTCTTCTCCCTGTGCCACAATCATTGTCACCAAGGAGCACAAAGATTCTTCTCCCTGGGTTACCATCCTTGTCACTGAGAAGCACAAGGGCTCTTCTTCCTGTGCCACCATGTCACCATCACCGAGGAGCATGAGGGCTTCTCCCTGTAACACTGTCACCAAGGAGCATGAGGAATCTTCCTTATGTCACCATGTCACTGTCACCGAGGAGCACAAGGGCTCTTCCCCTTGTGCCTCTGTGTCACTGTCATCAAGGAGCACATGGGTTTTTTCCCCTGTGCCACTGTCATTGTCACCAAGGAGCATAAAGACTCTTCTCCCTGTGCCACTATCACTGTCACCAAGGAGTTCAAGGGTTCTTCACCCTGTGCCACTATGTCACTGTCACCGAGGAGCACAAGGGTCTTCCTGAGCCACCAGCACTGTCACCATTCAATGCGCCCTTACCCACCTGGCATCTGCCACACGGGACACAAAGATGAGACCCTGTCCTCACAGCTCACCATAGGAAAAGAGGCCAGTGAAATCCACATTAAAATGACAGCCACAACTCCTCGCCCAGCCAAGCAGGCTCAGCACAGGTTCCAGCCCCGTAGGCCCCCATCCCCACAGCAATGCGTCGGGGTGAGACATTTCCCTTCTCTAAGTCTCCACACCTTCATCAACAACAGGGCAGTGATAATCCTGACAAACAGGGTTACTGTAAGGACTAGAAGACAGAGGCTCTCAGCATAATGCTTGACATGGCAAGGATTTACTGGACCATTGCCATGAACTGTAAAAGAGCTCCGAAAAAACCAGAATTTTCATAGTGGTACAGGGGACTGAGTAAACTGAATGTCTGGTGGTGTCCAGGGCGCTACATTTAAAACTCAATCTTGGGCAGGGCGCAGTAGCTCACACCTGTCATTCCAGCACCTTGGGAGACCAAGGCAGAGGCTCGTTTGCAGCTAGGGGTTCAAGACAGGCCTGGGCAAAACAGTGAGTCCCCATCTCCAAAACAAACAAACAAACAAAAAAACCCACCTAATCTTTAAAAATGACAGAGTGCCTGCCAGAGTAGGGAAGGAAGGGCATTCCAGCAAAGGCCCAGGCTGGAAAGGCATCAGTACTGTAAGGAAGTGGCTCCCAGGAGCCAGAATCAAGGGTCGGCTGGGCGGGGACAGATAAGCAGGGGAGGGAGGACAGCAGGAGCCTGCACTAATCCTGCCAGGAAGGAGTGGAGGAGGGGCCCAATCGGATTTGGTCTGGACCTGTAACTGAAGGGCAGTGCTACCTCTTTGCTTTTCTGCGCAGAAGACTGACTAGAGACAAAGAAGGCAGGAGGCCAGGTGGGAGCAGCTGCATCGCCAGGGGCGAGAGGACAGAAAGGATGTGGGAGCCAGGCTCGGTGGCTCAGCCCGTAATCCCACACCTTGGGAGGCTGAGGTGAGTGGATTGCCTGAGCTCACAGGTTCGAGACCCACCCGGGCAACTTGGTGAGACCTCATCTCTACAATAAATCAAAAATTAGCCTGGCATGGTAGCGCGTGCCTGTAGTTCCAGCTGCTTGGAAGGCTGAGGCGGAAGGATCACCGGAGCCCAGCAGGTCGAGGCTGCGGTGGCCGGAAGTGGCCACTGCACTCCAATCTGGGCGACAGAGTGAGACTCCAACTCAAAAAAGAAAGGCTGTGGAGAGGCCAGGTACAATGGCTCATACCTGTAATCCCAGACCTTTGGGAGGCTAAGGTAAGAAGATTACCGGAGCCCATGGGTTGGAGACCAGCTGGGCAACATAACGAGACCTCATCTCTACAATAAATCAAAAAATTAACCAGACGTACTGGTACATGCCTGCAGTTCCAGCTACTTGGAAGGCTAAGGCGGTAGAATCACCTGAACCCAGGATGTTGAGGCTGTGGTGGCAGTGATTGTGCCACCATATTCTAGTCTGGGTGACAGAGTAAGACTCCAACTCAAAAAAAAAAAAAGTTGCCTTTCAAGATGATACAAGAAGGTCAAGATGAAAATATTTAAATCCATTATTTTCTCCAATTTCCACAAGCAGGATATACTCACAGGCTGCACTGGTTTAGTCTATAAAATTTGTGTCGTGCGACGCAGAGTCTCCACACATACTTTGCTGTTTCCATGTCTTCCTGGCAAACAAAACAGGGACAAAGGAATATGAAAGCTTACATACAGCCCAATCCTTTTAACGCAGAGTTTTCTGAGGACAAGACAACTGGGAGACACAATATGTCAGTCACTCTCAGCACAGCGATTCTTCCATTTTCTAACACCATGCCTGTTGTATGACTGCCACAAGTAGTACTTAAATTATGAAGAAAAAATCTGTTCCAACAGTGTGATTCTGACAGTAAACAGTTACAAAATGACTTTAGGAATTTAAAAATTATAAAAATATTAACTTTTATTCTTGATAGATAAAGACATGTTTAAACAAAACACTTGAATCCATAACTCAATATTTGCCTTTGTCAAGAAAGCAAAAGTAAGTTACTATTACATGGCATTTCTGCAGCTCTATTCATCAATCACTGGGATTGAACCATCTGTGCTTTCTTCTCCCCACCAGGACCCTTAAGTTTAACTCAAGGGTCAGCATGATCAGATAGTGCTTATTCAACAAGATTTACTGAGCAACCGCTTTTTGTCAAATGCCATTTTGCACAATGCTATGCAACTTTGTAACGTTTTATTAAATTATGAAATCTAATCTCGTTAATGTCCTAACACACAGGCATGCAGAAATGCCAACTTACTAGCTTTTAGGGAAAACCTTCCACGCACACCCCGATGCTTACTCACAGTTTGAAACTGGATGGTCTCCTCTTTGCTTGCCAGCTCTAATGCAAAAAAGGACTTGTTGTGGGACATGTTAGCAATGTCATGCCACCTAAGGAATAGCACACAAAAGCAGTGTGAGTGCTCGTGGGGACATCAGGGGATGCGACACGTGATGCTTCCTTAAGCCTGATGCGTTAAGTCAATAGTTGCTCATCATTTTTGAAAGAAAATGGTGGTTTTAATCAGCTAGCATGCCTCTTCTAGGCGAAGTGACAGCAGTTAGTTGCAAGAAGTAAACGTGTACAACATGAGGGAAGAGAGTATATAAAAGATGTCAGATGCATTGTGCTCATTGGCGAGAACCGCTTGATGACCCAAACCCCTAAACTGGCTGGTTGCCACAGCCGCATTTATTCATTCAACAGAACAAAGGGCACTCATTCTTACAATGCCAGAAGTTGCACTAGGTTTCAGGGACACCGAGGTTGGTAAAGTAAAGTGCTGCCCTCAAAGGGGCATAGGGGAAGGGGAAGGACACAGAAGCACGCAAGTCCCAGTAAGTGCTGCAGATCACAGGGTAAAATCAGGCACAGAAAACAAGCAGGTACTCCAACAAGCTTCAGGGTGAAAATCAAGTTCTAATGTCAGGAACTCAGGGAGTGACCCATTCACCAGGGCTTAAGATCCCAGTTTACATGCTCTAATGCCATCATATTCAGCTATTTAATCTCATTACATAACTGTAAAATTTTATAAAAAGTAAAAATGATTACGGGAGAACAAGTGTGACCCCTTTAATTTTCTCCATATTAGATTGATGTACTTAAAATTTGTTCACAAAAATAAAATTAATTGAATAGTGATTCCATATTTCAGCATTAAGCCTAAAGATGATTAGCATCATATTAAATCAGGCAGTTTTTACCCTTCTATCCAGATGGAGGAAGCAGCAGCTGCCTTAGTTGCCAGGTGACCTCTGGCCCCCATGCAGCGCAGGTCATTATCCTCCCCCTGCTGTGACCTGGCATGTGGAAAGGCCTCACAAGTGGATGAACAGGAGAGCAATCACCAAAGGGGAGACTCCAGGCCCAGGGCAGCAAGTTGGAGTGAGGCTCTGCTCTCCAAGCTGTGCATACTCTGGTCATGATCACCATCAGCATTCAGGGCCCAAAGGCAGCCAAGCAAAGGGAGTAAAGGGAGAGATGTCAGCTTAGAGCAGTGGCCCTTAAAAGGAAAAACTAGACCAGGTGCAGTGGCTCATGCCTGTAATCCCAGCACTTTGGGAGGCTGAGGTAGCAGGACTGCTTTGAGTACAGAAGCTTGAGACCAATCAGGGCAACATAGCAAGACCTCTCATCACTACAAAAATTTTTTAAAAATTAGGCAGACATGGTGGTACACACCTGTAGCCCTAGTACATTGGGAGGCTGATATGGGAAGATCGCTTGAGCCCAGGAGTTTGAGACCAGCCAGGTCAACATAGCAAGACCACATCTCTACAAAAAGTAAAAAAGAAAAAAAAAAACCCAACAACTTAGCTGGGCTTAGTGGCACACACCTGTAGTTACAGCTACTCCAGAGGTTGAAAAAATGGCAGGTCAAGGCCACGGTAGCTGTGATCGTGCCATGACAATCCAGCCTAGGTGACAAACCTGAAAATAAGTAATCAAAATGTGCTTAGATGTTGGGATTTTAGAAACCTGATCCATCACTAGGGTCACAAGAAAGCTCTAGGCTTCTCGTAAGAAACAGTCCTGGAAACTGGAGCTCAAGTACAAAACTCATATCAAAACAGATCATGGCCTCCACGTGGCAAAAAAAAAGTCACACAGACTGAAGCATTTTATAAGAGGTCATCATCATAAGCATGATGTTCTGAACACTTGGTTTTTAACAAAGTGGCTTACTGAAAAGGACACTGTATTCCAGTGGTAGCTCATTCTAGAAAGAGAGTGTTTCCACGTTGTAACAAGATCTTGAGACAGACTTGTGAGAAATGTATTATACGTACTAAGAAAGTTATTACCCACAGGAGCCACAGGAAGGGCCAGGGAAGTACCTGAATATTACGGGTGGCCTCCCATTCTTGTGTTTCACGAAGATGCCTTCAAGACATGCCCCCACAGAGAGGTCACTGCCCTGGCTGTCCTGAAAGGAGAAAGGAGAGACCCGCCCGGGGCAGGTACACAGAGCTGCCACTCATTCAGCTCCCTGAACATCCCCAATACAAAATGTTCAGGAGACCCACAGAGGAACTATTTGGAAGAGAAGTCTGAGTGACCTGAATGTATTACCCTGTAAATAAGTGACTGGTCTCCCAATAATGCTATTTCAAGGCCCTTTCAGAGCATGACTGGCAAGTGGGCATGTGTGTTACTATAAAATGTTGGTCACAGGCCGGGCATGGTGGCTCATGTCTGCAATTCCAGCATTTGAGGAAGTGGAGGTGGGAGGATTGCTTGAGGCCAGGAGTTTGAGATGAGCCTGGACAACATAGCGTGACCTTGTTTTTTTGTTTCTTTTTTTGAGTTGGAGTCTCACTCTGTCACCCAGATTGGAGTGCAGTGGCCGCTCCCGGCCACCGCAGCCTCGACCTGCTGGGCTCCAGTGATCCTTCTGCCTCAGCCTTCCAAGTAGCTGGAACTATAGGTGCGTGCAACCATGCCCGGCTAATTTTTGATTTATTGTAGAGATGAGGTCTCGCCAAGTTGCCCAGGTGGGTCCCGAACCCACAGGCTCAGACGATTCACTCACCTCAGCCTCCCAAAGCGCTGGGATTACAGGCTGAGCCACCGAGTCCGGCCTGCATGACCTTGTTTCTACAATAAATAAAAAAACTAGCCAGGTGTGGTAGTGCCTGCAGTCTAAGCTACTAGAGAGCTCAGGTGGAAGGACTGCCTGAGCCCAGGAGGAGGTTGAAGCTGAGGTGAGCCATGATCGTGCCACTGCAATCCAGCCTAGGGGACAGAATGAGACCCCAACTCAAAAAAAAAAAAAAGAAAGACAAAATATTGTTTACAAGGACCTGAGCTTTCAAGCTGCCAGACTGCACATCCATCCTCAGCCTCCACACATCGGGGCATCCACAGGCTTCCTACTATGCTCTCAAGCTGCCGATCTCAGTTGTAAGGGCCCCACTAAGCCCCGCTCCCACCACCCTGCCAAGTCCCTCACCCCTTGCCAAGGCCCCCCTCATCGAGCCCCACCTTGACACACTCACCTTGGCAGGGTAGCTCTCCTCCCCATAGCCGTCCAGTCTCTCCACCTCCTGCATGTACAGCATTTCAGCCTCCGGAGCTGTGAGCCCTCTGCAACCCAAGACACATGTTGAGGTATTCGTCTACAGAGCTAAAACTGCTCTAAAATAGAGCTACGTGTCACTTTGGCATGAGACATGATGAAGTTGTAAAATTTCTTAGCATCTGTCATTGGTGACACCAATTCATCATGGTTTCCTGAAATCTAACCGCAACCGTATGCAGCGCACTGTGCTCAACACCGAGCAGGTACCATGTACAATCCTGCCTTGGTATTTCAGACGGTGAGGGGGAAGGCGGAGGGCAAAATAACCCCCCACCATTTAACTATACACTGCCTATTTCCAGTTTCAAAAAGCATGTATTTATACTACTCCCACGTTGTAGTGCTCACTATTACCTGTATTTCTGATGCAGTAAGGCCACTTTTTGTGTTGCTTCTTCCAATACTTTTTCATCTTGTAACCACCCCTGAAGAAAACACACAGCAGTAATTACACCAGAATTCACCCAAATTTCCTAGGAGGAATCATTGCTCCTGAGGGTCACTTATGCTTGTCACTTTCAGGCAAGATGATGGCTATTATGATCAACATGTGGGAGCATTGCTTACACACATAATCATTATCTGCCTAAGGAATTACATAGCTTCTGTTCAGAAGCCAAAAAACGCACCCTGCCTCTCTGTTCGTTCCAGAGAAAGTTTCAGCTAAGTGACTGCAGGTTGGTGGCACTAGTCAGCCAGTTCAGAGACTGGTGACATGGCACCATCTGTGCATCCTCTGTCTGGAATGCGGACACTTGGAAGAGGAGCACACCTCCAACACAGTGTTGTTCCAACACAGTTTCTTGTCGCTTCCATCAGGAATGACATCAAAAGCAGGTGGTGATGTCTTTTCTGTCATCTACTTTTTTCATTGCTAATAAGAAGCCAAAATCATTTTTTTTTTTTTTTTTTGAGTCGGAGTCTCACCCTGTCACCCAGCAAGAGTGCAGTGGCACACTGCCACCACAGCCTTGACCTGCTGGGCTCAGGTGGTCCTCAGCCTCAGCCTTCCAAATAGCTGGAACTATAGGCATGTGCCACCATGCTCAGCTAATATTTTGATTTATTGTAGAGATGAGGTCTCATCATGTTGCCCAGGTTGGTCTCAAAAACACGGGCTCAGGCAATCCTCTTGCCTCAGCCTCCCAAAGTGCTGGGATTACAGGTATGAGCCACCACACCCAGCTCCAAATTCACTTCAACACAACTTTGTGAGCTTTCAAGCCTTCAGTGAAAAAAGCACAGCTCCACAGGGTTCCTCAGAAGCTGAAACAAAATCTTTCTCTTTAGACTCACATCCAAATACAGAAAGAATTTCTCTGGCCACAGCGCGGTTATGACAGACCTTTCAGTTTTAAGAAGAAGACCACAGTGAAAGCACTCCCACTTGAGGTGTTTATAACAGGAAGCTGGCATTCTTTTGTGCTATTCCTGATGAAGAAAGCTATCACATGCACTGCATTTGAGGGATTATTCAGGGTATGGGAGCAAACTGTTTCTTGAAAGGCTCAATGTCAAAAGAAGACTTACCACAGGAAGCAAGGCAAATTTCTGGAGAAAGTCCTGGGATTCATATTGATCAAAATCACCAAAGTCAGCTGTACAAAATGACAAATATTCACATTAGTTATATTTAATTTGCATTTCAAAACATGCACAGCAAAATTCAAAATGCAGAATATAGATGGTGTGCTGATAATTCAGAAGTCAAATTTGTCTTACAACTAAGTATTTTTAAAGTATCTTTTTAAAATATCAACTGGGGAGTCCGGGAGGGGAAAAATATCAGTTGGGTAAATCCATATGTCTTGACTTGGAAAAATTCCTGTGAATTAAGTAAAAAAACAAGTTACAGGTCAGGTGCAGTGGCTCACATCTGTAATCCCAGCACTTCGGGAGGCCAAAGTGAGAGGATTCGAGGCCAGCCTAGGCAACTTGGCAAGACCTCGTCTCTACAATAAGTCAAAAAATTATCCTGGCATGGTAGCACATGACTATAGTTCCAGCTACTTGGAAGGCTGGGGCGGAAGGATCACCTAAGTCCAGGAGGTCAAGGCTGTGGTAGCCATGAGCATGCCACTGCACTTCAGCCAGGGTGACAGAGTGAGACCATATTACAAACTGCATTTAATAAGGTCTCATTTTTGTAGTTAAAAAACAAGCAAAGCCTACCCTGTAATCATGCAAGCTTGCTTACGTGCAAAAAAAAATACACACTGTTGACAGTAGTGATTACCTCTGGGGAATGGAATTAGATCATTTAACCATGTTACAGCAAGATGTTGTTTTGAAATTTTTAATTGTTAACAAAAAAATGACAGTTCAGTAAAATGCTTATGAAAAGGTGATTCTTGCCAAGTGTGGTAGCTCCCACCTGTAATCCCAGCACTCTGAAAGGCTGAGGTGGGAGGATCACCTGAGCCTAGGAGGTTGAGTCTGCAGTGAGCAGTGATAGTGCCACTGCAACTCCAGCCTGGGTGACAGAGTAAGATGCCAACTTGAAGGAGTCAATGAGTGAATGAATCAATGAATGAATGAGTGAATATGAATGAATGAATAAATAGATAGATAAATGCTTTTAAAATATATACAGTTATGTGTCACTTTAATGATGGAGCTATGCATCATTGGGTGGTTCCATCCTTGTGCACCTCACATCACAGAGTGCACCTACTCTACTAGATCCATCCTACAACACACCTAGTGGTCTAGCCCACTGCTCCTAGGCTACAAACCTGTACAGCATGTTCCTATACTGAATACCACAGGCAACTGCAACACGATAGTAAGCATTTGTGTATCTAAACATATCTCAACATAGAAAGGCACAGTAAAAGTACAATATTATAATCTCAGGGGACCCATTGTCTATGCTGTCCATCGAACTCCAAAATGTCGTTATGTGGCGTGTGACTGAATTTGTGTGTGTATGTAGACACACATATTTGTATATACATACACATAACTCTAGCTATTGGACTGTTTGCTCTGTCGATATATAATAATGTGATCAATTTCAGAAGTCTTTTATTTTATTGAAGTAATCCAAATTCATTTTCCCAAAAGGAAGGTCGTTTAGATAACATGATAATGTTTCACTCATGAATTAACACCACTATAGAAAGTCAATTACTTTAAAAATCCCTTGCTGTTTTTGCTAAAACATTTTAACCTGATAGAACTATTTCATGATTAATTCTCTTATTTACCTTGCACAGCCAAGCCTGCCAGTTTAATTGCTTGTTCTAAGGTACAAGGAACGTTTCCCTCCAGGATATCTTTCTTCAGTTGTAAATAATACTGATATCTGTTAAAAAAAAAAAATGTCAATTTCATAAGGTTAATATCAACATCATCTCCAGTGAAGACACACTCCTGGACCAAATGAACTTGACCTTCCATAGACATTTTTTTATGGCCTTAGACTCCTAAGAGAGCTGATTCTGCCCTAGCTTGTTCATTGCCGACTTTTTATATTAAAGCTCAGCTGAAAATTTCCTTTTAAATGATATACTAGGAAAAACTGGTCATGTTTGCACACAGATGAACTTCTTTTTGTCACATAATGAGTAACAAGACTCATGTTTCTTCTTTTGCTTTGACTGCCACGAGGCTGAGAGATAAAATCGAGGCAAAGCCACCATCATTACTGTCCCTCAATTGCCCTCTCAACTACTTTCTCCACTGTTTAATGACAGCCACCTTTTACTGATGAGGAGGTGGGAGCTCAGAGATTAAGCAATATGCTCAATCCCACAGACCTTAGCTGAGCTGGAGTTTGGACTCAGGTCTGAATGACCCCAAAGCTCAGGTTCTTAACTGCTACAAATCTCCAATTATAGATTTTTCTAGTATTTTTAACTGTTTAGCATTTTTCTACCAGAGCCTGTAGCACACAGGGGTTGAGAGCAAGGACTTGGGAGCCAGACTATGTGAGTTAAAGCCTTGTTCCAGTACCCACAAGCACTGTGATCTTGCGCAAGGCCTGTAACCTGTTTATGTGTCTTAGTTTCCTAAAAAATGGATGATGCAGAGGTGGACACCACTATACCCAACTCATTGTTTTGATTTATTGTAGAGACAAGATCTCACTATGTTACTCAGGCTGGTCTTAAACTTCTGGGCTCAAATGATCCTCCCACCTTGGCCTCCCAAAGTGCTGGACTTACAGGCATGAGCCCCTGCACCCAGGCTTATTCACATTTAAATGGGTCTATTGTCTGTTATTTTTTAAATTTTCTTTAGTTCACTATGTAATATTGGTTGACTGTTTTCTGCTGCTTTATGGCCACATTTTTCTGAGAAGTCTCTACTTTTTGAAGATATGTCATCCAGATGGTTGGTCTCCCCCTTTATTTTTTAAAAATAACTCTGAGTGGGTCTTTATAACTGAGTGGGTCAGTTGAGATACAACTGACATTGAATAAACTGCTCAAATTTGGCCTGGCACAGTGGCTCATGCCTGTAATCCCAGGACTTTGGGAGGCTGAGGCTAAAGGATTGCTTGAATTCAGGAGTTCAAGATCTGCCTGGGCAACATAGCGAGATTCTGTTTCAAAAAGATGAATTTTTTTAAAAAGCTGGCTGGGATTGGTGGCTCAGCCTGTAATCCCAGCACTTTGGGAGGCTGAGGGCAGTGGATTGCCTGAGCCCACGGGTTCGAGACCAGCCTTGGCAACTTGGTGAGACCTCGTCTCTACAATAAAAATAAAAAATGAGCCAGGTGTGGTAGCACGCGCCTATAGTTCCGGCTACTGGGAAGGCTGAGGCAGAAAGATCGCCGGAGCCCAGCAGGTCGACGCCAGAGTGGCTGTGAGCTTGCCACTGCACTCCAGCCTGGGCAACAGAGTGAGACTCCAACTCAAAAAAAAAAAACCAAAAGAACAAAACTGCTCAAACTTCAAGTGTACAATTTTGACACATGAATCTATCCATGAAATCATCACCATAAGGAACACACTGATTACCTACAAAAGGTTCCTGGTACCCTCCTCCTCTTTCTCTCCTACCCTCCCCTTCCTAGGAAGCCCCTGGTCTGCTTTCTGATGCTGTGGATGTGACAGCTAGTACTTCTCCAGAGCCCCTGGACTATGAGGCCACCTGGTAAAAGGCAAGAACAGTTCAAGGGTGGTAAACAGGAGGAGAGAAAGAATCAGGTCCTGGAAGATGCTGAGGTGCTCTTACACAAGTCCAACTGACTGACCTCTAACCTTTTCTTACAGACAGCCATGATATTTAGGGTTTGTTGTTACATGTAGCTCTACTTAATCCTCACTGGATACAACTTCTCTACCAGGTTCTGCTGTACTCAACCAAGGAGCAATCCTACTGATGGGATTGAACAGGCCCATTCCCTCTCGATCTGGCTAACGCCTTTGTTCAGGTCCATATTCTAGACTAATGTCTTGATTGTGGCACAGACATTCTCACTGGTCTCCTGCCTAGAGTCTACCTTCCATGATGGGTGATCTTCATACAGCGTACATTGGATCTTTTCATTCCATTAAAATCCGAAATGTCTTCCTCATTGTACCATGACTTTATGACTGATGCTTATTTTTAAACCTCACCTCTCCTCTCTAGGTAATACATGAAACTCCCTGAAAACATGTCATTTTCATGATCTTCCCCTGCCTTTTACAAGTTATTCTCTCCAGAAAATTCCTTCTAAAGTCAATCAAACATTTAACTCCTTCACTTTTCCTGTTCAACCTTGCCCTGCCTCTAGGAATCTAGAGCTTTAATTAAAGCATTTATTATCACGGGATTCTGTAACTACGTGTTTATAAAAGCGCCAGTCCCACCAGACAGCAAGCAACTCCCCAGGGTAGGACCAAGCATGATCCCTGGCACATTTGCCACCCATTCCAACCCACGTCAGTCTTCAATCCTATCATGTCTTCAGTAAATATCTTCATGAGTTAGAGTAATCAGCTCAGGATTTTTCCTTCTGGCTTCCTATTCTCTGATAGTTCCATCTCAGACTTGTCCTCCAGTGTATTCACATCTGTCTCTACCACCTGGTCCCTATCTTTGCTTTTCCATCCTTCTCTAAGGATTAACAGACCACTCACACAGCAGCCCACAAGCATGGGAAGTACCAGGTCCTTCCTATCTGCAGGGCACTGTGTTAATATCACAAGAAAAGTTAAGTTGGTGAAAACGTGGGTTTAAAATCTGGGAAAATGATAAGATATGTCCGTAAATAATCACAAGAGGCTGCAACAAGTGCCATGTTAACACAAGTGCAGCTCGATTCTAGGACAGTCTGGAGAAGGCGAAACTCATTCCAGCCCTGGACCACAGATGCTTTGTGGAACAGGTGCCTTCTAAACCACAGCTCAGAGAATGAACAGGATACCAGCACATAAACATGAGAGAAAGACCGAGAAAGGAAAAGGCATGTGGCGTGTTCAGGGCCTTGGAAGTGGTCCAGCTTGGCTCAGATGTAACATTAACAGGGTTAAAAAAGCCAAGGAGGTGGTGGGAGATTTCAGAAAGCTCTGAAGACAGGCTCAGGAATTGAAACTTGATTCCATTGTCTTTTGTTGTGTTTGTCTCACTTAGTTCTTTTATTCTGCTCCTTAATATCTTCTTTCTCCCCCCAGCTCTGCCCCTGTTTAAAGAGCACTACTGGCTAAAAACTCCTGATCTTCACATCCTCCCTCTCCTTCTCTGCACTCCCCCTCCTCCACCTTCTCCCTCCCACCAGTCCACAGAATATAGCTAGTGTCAGAGAATTCTAAGAACCTTTTAGCACATTTCCTTGCAGAATGAACAGATATTGCGACTAATTTTTTTTATCTCTTTTGTCATTTCCTTTTTAGAAAGGATCCGAAACAAAGCCACAAAAACAATAAAGGTGGCATCATCATACTCAGTGATCTATCACAGAAACAAAGAACAGAGTACCACATGTTCTCACTCATAAGCAGACCCTGAACATTTACCATAATACTATAAGGAAGGGATTGGCAATAGTGTGATACTGCTGGGGTTAGGGGAGGGCACACAACATCAATAAGGGTACCTGATCTCAAATCAGGCAAAGTGGGACCAAAGGGATGCCCAAACTTAACTTGTATGATGATCACTTGTATCCCTAATCCTGAACTGTACCCCACATCTTTATTTTTTTATTTTTATTTTTGGAGTTGGAGTCTCACTCTGTCGCCCAGACTGGAGTGCAGTGGCCACTCCCGGCCACCGCAGCCTCGACCTGCTGGGCTCAGGCGATCCTACTGCCTCAGCCTTCCAAGTAGCTGGAATTACAGGCATGCGCTCCCACGCCCGGCTGATTTTTTTTTTTGATATATTGTAGAGATGAGGTCTCGCTGCCCAGGTGGGTCTCGAACCCGCGGGCTCAGGCAATCCACTCACCTCAGCCTCCCAAAGGCACGGGATGACAGGCTGAGCCACCGAGCCCAGCTTACATCTTTAAAATAAAATTTAAAAATGAAGGTGACATCAGTAGAAGCAGAGTTCACAGCAGGGTCAAGACATCACTTTTCCCTTTTATGATTCCTTTGTGCCTGGTGAACCCATAACTCATTTGGTATGCAGCAAAACACCCCAACATGCCCATGACAGACCCTCATTGTGATTCGACAGCTGGAGATATACATGGGAAGGCAAGGCTCAGAGCATATGACTTCTCACCTGGTAATCTCCTGCTGCAGCTGTGACACAGACGGCACATAGAACACCACGCCGAAATACACGGTGGGCTCCGACGCGTGTTTATCCAGCTGCTTCTTCAAAGGTTTTTCCAGATCCACCCACCGGCGCTGATTCTGCTTGTTGTAGTACCAGAGGCTGAAGTAAGTGACCTGGAAAGACAGAAGGTCACTGAAGGAGGTGGTGACATTTGGAAGTATGTCAATGACTTCAAGTACACAAATCCATGAAGGGGACCCAGTGACAGCAGTCTCCTGTGGCCTCTCTTCTGAGACAAGAGCATGAGCAAAGGAGGAAACAGGCGAGATCCAACTCTATCTAGATTCTCAGATTCAGGACACAGGCAGAAAGTCAATCCATGTGCACATCATTTCTAGAACTCTGCACACACACAAAATGCATTCATGGTCTAGACATCAAGAATAGAAGCCAGTTGCAGTGGCTCACACCTGTCATTCCAGCACTTTGGGAGGCCAAAGCAGGAAGAATGCCTGAGCCTAGGGGCTCAAGATCAGTCTGGGTAACTTGGCAAGACCTGGTCTCTACAATAAAGTAAACAATTAGCCAGGCATGGTGACATGCACCTATAGTTCCAGCTACTTGGAAAGCTGAGGCAGAAGAATCACCTGACCACAGCAGATCGAGGCTGTGGCATCCATAATCATGCCACTGCACTCCAGCCTAGGTCACAGAATGAGAATCTGGCTCAAAAATAAAGAAAAAGAAAAAAGGAAAAGACATCAGAATGTGCTACTCAATTTTATATGCAGGCATTAACAACAAAAGAAAAAATTACTGAAAATATTATGCTGGCCAGGCTCAGTGGCTCAGCCTGTAATCCCAGCACTTTGGGAGGCCGAGGTGAGTGGACTGCCTGAGCCCGCGGGCTCAAGACCCACCTGGGCAACTTGGCGAGACCTCATCTCTACAATAAATCAAAAATTAGCTGGGTGTGCTAGCACGCGCCTGTAGTTCCAGCTACTTGGAAGGCTGAGGCGGAAGGATTGCCGGAGCCCAGCAGGTCGAGGCTGTGGTGGCCAGGAGCGGCCACTGCACTCCAGTCTGGGCGACAGAGTGAGACTCCAACTCAAAAAGAAAAAAAAAAAGAAAAGAAAATATTATGCTTAGTTTTTCAATCACCAAAGCACTAATTTAATCATAATTAATACTTTAAAATAAGCGTAACTTGGGTTCTACCCAGTGGAATTCTGACTAAATAGTGTTGAACCAACTTATTATTGCTCTCAATTTTGGCTTCTATAAATAAATTATTTCATGTAAATATGATAAATTAGCCCAGATGCAATTGCAATGCTACTTTTCCTCCAAAATTTCATTAGACACAAATTTAAAGCAACTGTATGGTGGGAATGTAAGCTGGTTTGAACTTTGTGGGATTTCTCAAAGAACTAATGAAGGAACTACAATACAACCCAGCAATCCCGCTTCTGGGAATAGATCCAGAGGAACATAAATCACTCCATCAAAAAGACACTTGCACATGCATGTTCACTGCAGCACTAATCTCAACTGCAAAACGTGGAAGCAACCCAGATGCCTATCGAAAAGTGGGCATAAAGAAAATGCAGCCGGGCTCGGTGGCTCAGCCTGTAATCCCACACTTTGGGAGGCTGAGGTGAGTGGATTGCAGAAGCCCAAGGGTTCGAGACCCGCCTGGGCAACTTGGCGAGACCTCATCTCTACAATAAATCAAAAACTAGCCGGGCGTGGTAGCACGTGCCAGTAGTTCCAGCTACTTGGAAGGCTGAGGCGAAAGGATCGCTGGAGCACAGCAGGTCGAGGCTGCGGTGGCCAGGAGCATGCCACTGCACTCCAGTCTGGGCGACAGAGTGAGACTTCAACTCAAAAAAAAAAAAAAAAAGAAACTGCGGTACATCTACACAATGGAATATTATGCAGCCATAAGGAAGAACAAAGTCATGACATACACAGCAACTTGGAAGCAGCTGGAGACCATCATATGAAGTGAACTATCACAGAAACAAAGAACTGAACACCACATGTGCTCTCTCATAAGTAGGCCCTGATCACTGGTCACACGAGCACAAGGGAGGGATCAACAGATGGTGGACACTGCAGGGGGGGAGGGGAGGAAGGGTAAGGGCCACAACCATACCCCGGGTGCCAGGTCCACCACCAGGGGGCAAGTGGGCTCTCTAGACACCCAAACCTCATCTGCACGCAATTTACTTATATGTAGCAAATCATCACATGAACCCAACTCTAAAATGATAAAAAAGAAAAAATAAATAAAGCAACTATAATGTTGTGGCGGTGAACCTGCCCCCACACAGACACACACACACGAGATAAGCTACAGCTAACACAGTAAAATAACATAAGTATATTCCTCAGAGGTTTTAAAAATGCCCGATGTATGATCCTTTAGATTCCACTTGCTGTGTGATGAAACCGAGAAGGTAAGTCAACAGCAGCCCGAGTCCTGTTCACCTTGGAAGGGCACTGATGCACTTATAAGTTGAATCACAGTCTGAAGCCACTGCCAATACTTACACCTCAAAATCCATTTCCAGATCAAGGCAATGGCAGTTTCAGGCTCTCAAGCAACTCGAGCCGATGGAACTTTGAGTCAAAGTCTCACTCGACACTACACTGGAGTGCGGTGGCATTCTCATGGCTACCACATCCCTAACCTGCTGGGTTCAGGCAATCCTCTGGCCTCAGCCTTCCAAATAGCTGGAACCACAGGCACGTACTACCACGCCTGACTAATATTTTATCAGAGAGACGAGGTCTGGCTATGTTGCCTAGGCTGATCTCAAACTCCTAGGCTCAGGCAATCCTCTTGCCTCGACTTCCCAAAGTGCTGGAACTACAGGAGTGAGCCACCACACCCAACAGGAACTTCATTTTTTTAAATGTTCAATTTTAATTGACTTAAGCAGCTGCAAGTATCTGGTGGCTATTGTACTGGGTAGCATAGTTTTAGAGCAACTGTTAAACAGAGAAATATCACTCAGGACTTTTCTTTGACCTGTAATCTGTATTCAAACAAAACTTTATTTATTTTTGAGTCAGAGTCTCACTCTGTGCCCAGGCTGGAGTGCTATAGCATGCTCACAGTTACTGCCACCTCAATCTGCTGGGCTCAGGCGATCCTTCCGCCTCAACCTCCCAAGTAGCTGGAATTACAGGCATGCACCACCACACCCAGTTTATTTTTTGATTTATTGTAGAGACGAGGTCTCACCATGCTGCCCAGGCTGGTCTTGAACTTGTGGGCTCAGGCAATCCTCTCACCTCAGCCTCCCAAAGTGCTGAGATTACAGGCATGAACCACTGTGCCCGGCCCAAACAAAATTTTCATTTGCAAGGAAAAAGATTATACAAACCCACTCTGCCCTCGATATTCATTTTATCTTACAATTTTTTACACAGGAAGAATAATACCTCTAAGATGGGATTGCCAGGCATGGTGGCTCATGCCTGTAATTCTAGCACTCTGAGAGACTGTGGTGGGAAGATTGCCTGAGTCCAGGAGTTCAAGACCAGCCTGGGCAACTTGGCAAGACCCTGTCTCTACAATAAACCAAAAAATTAGCTGGGCATGGTGACATGCACCTATAGTTCTTGATACTTGGAAGGCTAAGGCAGAAGAATCACCTGAGCCCAGCAGGTCAAGGCTGCAGTGGCCATGATCATGCCACTGCACTCCAGCCTGGGACACAGAGTGAGACTCTGACTCAAAAAATAAATTAATCCATTAATTTAATTAAATGAAAAGGTATAATTCTATCATATAAATTCCATGAGAAGGAAGAATCCACCCATTGGCCCTTCATATCCACCCACGTCTAGAATTCTGCGGGAATTCAGTAAATCTTGTTGGATGAACATTCTCTTGCCTCTTAGTTCCCACCAGAGTCATCACATATGAATGGAAAACTTTGAACATTTATTAGGTACCACGCTCTGTTCCAAGAATAGAGAGATGTGTAAATTGAATCACTGCCACTAATTAGGAAGTATGTGTTGTTATCTGTGTGAAACCCTAAAGCCAGCATTCCTCCAAGTTCTGTCCCTGGACAACCTGAGAGCTGCTTGGGCACTACAGAGCTTTCAAACTCCTCAGTAATTGTTTGCCCATTAATGTCTGAAAACTGCTGTGCTCTGCCACCCTGTCCCTCCAAAGCTATGCAGGGGAAAGTTACATAAGACGATCCATCTTTGAAAAGCTGCATAAACATCAAATTTTTGAAAATTCAATCGTACTTTAAATACCTGAAAATTCAAGTCCTATTGTTATTTTCTGAGGTTATGATTACATGTATACAATGAATTACATATTATTTGTGAAGGCAGAATATGTATCACACATTCACAAAAGATAAGTACTGCCTTCCTTCTGTTAAACTGCAACTTAAGAAAAGATTTGGTTGAAAAGAAAGAGCTTGGTGCTTAAACTCCAAAGTTCTAGGTCTGATTTTCAGCAGTTACTTACTAGCTGTGAAGTGGAAAAGTCAGTCATACCAATTCAGTTTTTTCAAGTGTAAAACGAGGTAATACCTCTCTTATGCCATCATGAGAGCAGGATGAGGAAGAATTACTTGAATGGATTCTGCTACTAGGTAACCACTATGTTTTTTTGTTTTTTGTTTTTTTGAGTTGGAGTCTCACTCTGTCGCCCAGACTGGAGTGCAGTGGCCGCTCCTGGCCACCGCAGCCTCAACCTGCTGGGCTCTGGTGATCCTTCCGCCTCAGCCTGCCAAGTAGCTGGAATTACAGGTGCGCGCTACCACGCCCGGCTGATTTTTTGATTTATTGTAGAGATGAGGTCTCACCAAGTTGCCCAGGCAGGTCTCGAACCCACGGGCTCATGCAATTCACTCACCTCAGCCTCCCAAGGTGCGGGATTACAGGCTGAGCCACTGAGCCCGGCACAATGTTTTTTAAATATCATTTAGTTTCACTTATTCTGATTGTTTGGGACCTTCTCCCCACAAAACAACTTTTCTAATTACCTACATTTATTTGGATTGATTATAATACAACAAATTTCTGTTACTTGCATGTTTGCTTTGTGCTCCATCTTAAAACACAAGTTTCAGACTGAAAGTATCAGTCTGATCTATCATAAATACCACTGCTATACATCTAATTCCACAAACAT